CTGGAATCTTTACTGTGAGGCCAGGAAGCAATTTGTGAAGGTGCAGCCTCAGTTTCAGTGACACCCCAAGACTGAAGAGGTTAGAAGCTGAGGCTAGGAGAGATCATCAGTGAAGGTGCAGCCTCAGTTGTATAGAGTTCAGGACTGGCAGGTGTGGAGTGGAGCCAGCCTGAAACTATAAGCCAAATTAACTGCTTGTACTGCAGATGGCAGAACTGGAGAAGTGGAACTTCCAAGCCCTTTGGAACCAGAGGATGGTGAGTCTCAGACACTGGACACAGAGCTTTTTAAAATACAGTGTTCAAGATTTTGGTTTTGCCTTGATTGGAACTGTGCACTGGTTCTTCCTTCTTTTGAAATGGTTCCACTGTGCAGCCCTGGCTGTTCAGTAACTCGCTCTGTATTCCAGGCTAGACTCGAACTCACAGAGATCCTCCTGCCTTTGCCTCCCAAGTGCTGGGATTAAAGGCGTGCGCCACCACCACCTGGCTGAGTAAGTATTTATCCCCCCTCCATAAGACACCTATGTTTAGGAGGTTTTGGCTTTTTAAAGATAGCTTAGACTTTTACTGAAGTTTTGAAATATTTAAAGACTAAAGTTACACTGTGTTTTATATTGTAATATCAATATGATATTTGGGTGATAGACAAGGAAGGGTTATGACTAAACAGTGATGTGTTTGTACGCCAGATTAGCAAGGGTCCTTGTTAATCTTTGGTAGTTTGACAAAAATGAGTCATTTCAAAAGAGGGTACCCTCAACTGCAAGTTCCTCTGTGCGATTGGCCTACAGGCAAGTCCGAGAGGCATTTTCTTGATTTATGATTGGTAGAGGAGGACCCAGTCCACTGGGGCCAGTGCCGTCCCTGGGGTGCTCCTGGGGTGTATTACGAAATCAGGCTCAGCCAGGAGGTGATGGCATACACCTTTAATCCCAGCACTCTCGGAGGCAGAGGCGGGTGGATCTGTGAGCTGGAGGCCTGGTGTACATCCGGAGTTCTAGGACAGGCTCTAAAGCTACACAGAGAAACCCTGTCTTGAAAAACCAAAAAAGAAAAAAAATCAGGCTGAACAAGGAGCAAGCCAAGCCAGCCAGCAGTGTTCCACTGTGGCCTATTTAGTTTTTGCCTCCTGCCTTGAGTTCATGCCTTGGCTTCCCCAAGTTGCTGTTGTCATGGCAGTTAGGACAGGAGAAAGCAAACTTGGACAACATCCCAGCAACTCTGCTTGGACTCTGTTTCAAGTATCAGGTAATGTGCTTTCAAGGACCGAGGACAAAGTTATGTGCCTGTTTGCTGGTCACATCCTGAAGATGAGGGCATTTTTATCTTTCATAAGCATTTCTCAGATCTTTGTCTTTATCTTCACAGGTCTCCATGTGCCCTTTTGTCCAAATTTACTTCCCTTAAAAGGACAGCAGGCCTATTTGGGTAATCTTACCTAAAGGTGAATGGGGCAGGGTAGGACATGATACAACCCAAACCCAATTTGGGCATGAGTGGTAGCTCTCATAATTTTCTCCCTTTTATTACCATTAGAAGATGGAATGAAGGCCGGGTGTTGGTGGCGTCCTCCTGCCTTTCCAGCACTTGGGAGCCAGAGACAGGCAGATCTCTGTGAGTCTGAGGCCAGCCTGGTCTACAGAGAGAGTGCCAGGATAGGCTCTAAAAGTTATACAGAGAAACCCTGTCTCAAAAAACCAAACGAACAAACAAAATAAATAAAAGAATACATAGCTGGTTTTGAGGCTCTCTGCAACCTGGTAGTCTTGCTTGTGGTACTGGAGATCCACAGGATCCCAGTAACACTGGTAAAGATAGCGGAAGCTGATGGTGGGGAGGGATGGGACAAGGTGGGGATGAAAGTTGATTGCTAGCTTGGGCTAATGTTAAGAATCCTTTGTGGGATTCATAGTGAAATGACACTAGCTAGATTTACTTGGAGTTGAGTGTACTGGTTGGTTGGAAAGCAAACCAGCAAGACTAAATGTTTTTCAACATATGTGCTTAATTGTTGAAAAATTTTAAGAAAAATGAAATTTCTCCATATTAGCAACTGTTACCCATGGTAAATCGTGAGTAGGAAGTTATAAAAAACTAGCTCAGCTCATTGTACCGAATATGCAGCAGATGTTTTAGGCATTGTCAGAAGTTAATGATAACTGCATATGCATTAACTAATTTTCCCAACATCTGTTCACCCCAAATGGGACCTAGAATACAATTCTACCCAAGTATAAGTGAGCCGATGAGTTTATTAGAGCACTAGTGAGGGGTTACAGGAGTTGGGGGTGGGGCTAAAAGGAGCCGTATCACTGCAGAGTATCACCCATCATGTGACAACCTCATAGAAAATACATTTAAGAAGCTTGCTTTCAATTAACGTTCCACTTCCTGAATACTCTTCCAAATCACTTGAGGGTTTGGTAGTTCCAGGGAAGGGAAGACTTTTCCCTTCCTTCTACTTGGGAATGTCAGCAGCTCAGTTACCATTCCCATAGATCCATCTATTGCTGTGTTTTGCTCAGTTGATTGCCATGGCTTTCTGGCCCATGCATGATAATACTGCAAAATGGGATTGATGCTTTAACTTGGATTTTCACTGAGTGAAGATGAAGCTTGGAGATCTGGGTGGGAGAGAATCATTGGAAAATTTAGGAATTGCTAGGGTTTGGGCCTGGAATGTTTCCCAAGGCTTAGAGAGGTTTGAAGCTTGGTCTCTGTGGTGATATTGGTAGGCAATGGGGCTGGAGATTTAGGGCTTTGGGGGGCCATGTTCATAAAGGACTGTGGTACCCTGGTCTTTTCTATTTCCAACTCTGTCTTTTGTCATACACTCCTATCATGATGGTTCTGCTTTGCCAAAAGGGGATGAGACTTGTAGTGACTAAGCAGGATAGCCAAAGGGGTAGATTTCTGTGCTGATGCACCTTTGTAAAAGTATACTCTTGGTTTGAGCCAAAACTTTAATGTGCAAACTGGGCATGCACAGGAATGTACACCTGATGGGGATGTCATCTGTACATGTTTCTCTTATTGATGAATAAAGCACTGTGGCCAATGAGGCAGGATGATAGGTGGGCCTAGGAGACAAGGGGAGGATTCTGGGAAGTGTAAGCAAAGAATGTCGTAGGATGCCAGAGGAGTAACAGGTACTTGGACCTTTCTCTGGTAAGAGAAGACTATGTGGAAATAATTAGATTAATAGAAATGGGTTAGTAATTAAGACAGAGCTAGCCAATAAGCCTTAGCCAAGTGGCTATAATTAATATAGCATTTGAGTGTTTATTTGGGAGCTCTGAGGCAACACACCCCCTCTAAGTGCCTCCTTTTAAGAATAAATATAGGCCTTTGTCCTGGTTATTTTGTGTGTGTGTATGCAAGTATGTGTGGGGGAACATTTTCTTGATTTATTGATGTGGGAGGACCCAGCTCACTATGGTTGTTGCCATTCCTTGGCAGGGGAGTAAGCTGTGAGGAGAATCTGTTAAGTAGCATTCTTTCATGATCTCTGCCCTGACCTTAGATAGACTGTGACATGGAAATATAAGCTAAATACCACTCCCCAAGTTGCTTTTGGTCAGAATGTTTTATCATAGCAATAGAAAGCAAACGAAGATAGTCTCCCTAATAAATTCCTTAACCTTTTGTTAGGGGAGAACATAGCTTGACAAAGATTCCCAAGCAACCCTTTGCCTGCTGCAGGTAATCTTTTTCCACTCTTTCATGTATTGTCTTTGTTTATTTTGGCTGCTATATGGTCACCAAGACTGGAATTCATTGTCTTCCCTTACTGGACCAATCGGACTGAAATCTCTACAAAACTGTTGAGTCCAGAGAAACCACCCTGATTTAAGTTACGTTAGGACTTTTGTGCAGTAATGGAAAATCAACATGTATAGTATGCCTTTTCCTGGGACTGTGAGGACCTCAACTTTCTCATTCATATGACTTCCATTATCTAGTACAGTGCCTGGCATACTGGGGTTCTCCCCTCATTCACAAGTGTGTGGTTTTTGCTAGAGTACTCAACCTCTTGAGTTTCAGAGAGGCGTGTGTTAAACTTGAGGGAAAAGGGGCCACTTCCCTAGCATGACCAAGACCCTTGGTTTGATCTCCAGCACTGCCCCAAACAAAAAGTAAAAGAACCTGCTCCAGACAGCTGTGTTACTGTAGCTGTCATGTTATGGGGACAGTCTTTGGATCCTCTCGGAGGATGGTTTGTAAACAAATGCTCAGACATTCATTACTGGTTGTCTTCCTTCCTCTTGTCCCTTCACACAAGTTTTTGTGTACATTGTCACCCCACTGTATTCAGGAGTCAGGAATCCCTCAAGCTAACATTGTATCCCACAGGTCTCTTAAAAGCTCTTAAGGGAAGCTTGCTGAAATAAGTATGGATTAGTACCAACACCAAAAGTTGGTATTAATAGCCTCAACTCTCTAGTCAGGAGACATAAGTTAGCTAGAATAATTAAGAAATAAAATTCACTATATACATAAAAATGGATCATTTTGAGATCTACTCTTCATTTTTATCAGTACATTAAAAACTTAGGTAACATAATTTGGGGGGGGGACTTTGGGTTTTATTGTTCATATGCATAGGTGTTTTGCCTGTGTATATGTCTGCACCATGTTCATGCTATCCCTGGTGTTCCAGCTACAAATGGTTTTGAGCTGCCACATGGATGCTTGTAATTAAACAAAGGTTGGAAGAGCAGCCAGTGCTTCCTTGTTTGTTTGTGCCGCCCCCCGCCCCCAAAAGGGTTTCTCTGTGTATCCCTGGCTGTCCTGGAACTTGCACTGTAGACCAGGTGGCCTCAAACTCAGAGACCTGCCTGGCTCTGCCTCCCAAGTGCTGGTATTAAAGGCATGTGCCACCAACGCCCAGCTCAGACAGTGCTTCTTAACCACCAATCTACTGTTTCAGCCCCAAATATAGGTAACTTTTGAACTTGGACTTTACTAAACTTTAGCCCATGAGCAGTTTGTTGCAGAACTACAGATTTTATTAGTTTCCAGTTTCTTGACAGTTATGTTGACTGTCATCTTTATAACTTACAGAAACACAGGCATTAGCACTTAGTAAACAAGAGAAAGATGGTTCACTCTTCCGTTTTTCTTTTACTGTTTGGCATGTCCAGAATAATGTTAAAACATTTTTATAATTGGGAAAAACTGGTTCGGTTACATAGCACTACTGGAGCTTTTCAAAATTGTACTGTGAATTTCAACTTATTTTAAAAAGGAAAGATAGTGATAATTTTCAAAACGAGCCTTTGCATGTTTACTGTCTTTAGTTTCATGTGTAAATCTAGAAAGAATGAATCTGTAAGTCTACTTTAAGAACTGAACAGATGAATTAGTGTTTGTTTTCATGGAGAATAACTCAGGTTTCTATAGACGAGTTGGTAATACATTAAATGGTACTGATGCAGGTGAAATGATTAGGCAGCTTGAGAGCATGGGTACACTGAAGTCTCCACTGAAATGTTGCCCGCAGAGATGCAGACACTGATGGAGATCTTGAAGTGCCTAAACAGCTTCCACGTAGTTGGCTGGGAGCATGCCCGTCCTGCCGGTCCTCTGCACAGTGCCATACATCCAGCCTTCATCAATCGCCTGAGCATTCACTATAGCATCTCCATCTTTGAAGGACACTTCATCTGCATCTGCAGCCATATAGTCGTACATGGCACGGAAGATTTTCTATTCACGACAATGAAAGCAAGGAAAATAGCATATATTGGTAAGAGCATATGACTTTTTGGATAAATTTAACTACAAAAGACAGTGTGCAGCTATCACCAAACAAGAACCAACAACAAAACAAAAAATGTTTCACTTTTTTTTGTTTTTAACAGTCCTAGCTGTCCCGGAACTCGCTTTGTAGACCAGGCTGGCCTCAAATGCTCAGTGAAGCACCTGTCTCTACCTCCTGTGTACTGGGATGAAAGGTGCACACCACCACCTCCAGGCAAGATGTTTCCCTCTTATCCACACTCTTAAGCTACCTAAACTGGAGAGGGCTCAGTCCTTAAGAGAATATCCTGCTCTTTTGGAGGATCTGGGTTCAGTTCCCAGTCTCAACTGTCTGTATCTCCAGTTCCAGGGCATCCAGTGGCCTTTTTCTGACCTCCACACTCATGTGATGCACATAAATAAGTACAGGAAAAGCACTCATACATATAAAAATAAATCTTTTTTAAAGTGAAATAAAGAAAAGCAACTCTGAGGGAGCAGAGGAAGCCCACTAGACAAGTCCCGAGTGACATGGCATGGTCATTTGGGCTAGGCTGAGACTGATAGCAAAACTTTCTTCAGGTGCCCTACCGATGTTTATGGACAGCTGATCAGATTGTATATAAAACAAAAACCTCCTCCTGGATGTTTATAGCCTGAGACTGCTCATTGACCTCCTATGGACTCATCAGTCCGGCCTTACAGAGAATACCAGAAGCAATATTTTGTACTGAAGAATAAGCATAGGTGAGAGGCTACAGGAAGAAAACACATGAAACTTTAATTACTAAAATGCACAACAAGGACCAAGATGACAGACAGCAAGCAACTCCACCCAGCAAAGTTGATATTAATTGCTTCAATTCTCTAACCAAGAGAAATGGGTTAGTGGCAAGGATTGAGACAAAATACATATTCCTGCTGTCTACAAGAAACTCAACTTTAAAAACTAGGTACACCTCCTTAAAGTAAAATGATGGAAAAGAGTACTTCAAGCAAATGAGACTAGAAAACAAGCAGGTGTAGCTATCCTAATACCTGGCAAAATAGACTTCAATTTTCATTCTAATCAAGGGAATAATTAACCCAGACGATAGTACATTTCTAAACTCTGCCACACCCAGTTTCATAAAAAGTGTACTTCTGAAATTAAAGGCAAGATTAACTCTCAACTCAGAGTAGGTGATTTCACTACTTTCACCAAGAGACAGGCTATCTGGATAAAAACAAACAGAAAAGTCTGAATTGAATGGCTTTATACATCAAATAGGCCTGATAACAGAATATTCCAACTGGTATTAAAAATATACATTCTACCCATCAGCTCTAAAACAGATCACATCCTAAGACAAATCAAATCTTAAACCAAGTTCAGAACAATTGAAATAACTTCATTTGTTCTGGTCACAATGTAATGAAGCTTAAAAACAACCCTCTAGTAATTAGACAAACTCAGTAGTGAATATATACACACACATATTTGAAAGAGAAGGGCATTTCCAAATTCTATGAAACCAATATCACTCTGATACCGAAACTACGTAAAGATAAAACAACAATGTAAAACAAAATACAGGCCAATAGAGTATGGACACAGACATCTTTAATGCAATACCATCAAGTTGAGTACAGGTCCATATCAAGAAGATGACTATGACCAAGTTGACTTTATCTCAGAGATGCAGGGATGATCCAATATATGTAAGTCAATAAATGGACTTTAAGACAAAAATACATGCTAATTTTAATAGATACAGAAAGGTTTTTTGTGTGTGTGTGACAAAATCCAATGTGTCTTCATGATAAAAGTTTTAAGGAGTGTGACCAAAGGGAATATATCTCAAAGGTTATAGATGGCAAACCTACAGCTAGTCTGAAGCACTAGCTACAGTTGAGAAGGAAATTAAAGGGATGCAAGTTGGAAAAGGGGTCAATGTTTATTTGCAGATATGATATATAGATTCCAAGATTTCTACCAGAAAACTTCCATAAGTAAACACTTTCAGTAAAGTGCCAGGATACACAATCAATTTAGAAAACTCCATAGCCAACAGCAGCAAGCAAGAGATAATAGAAACATTCCTATTTACAATAGCCTCAAAAAATTATCTTGGAATTAATCTAACCAAGGAGGTGAAAAACCTCTACTATGAAAACTTGAATCATTAAAGAAAGACTGAGAAGACACTAGAAAATGGAAAGACCTCCCATGCTCATGATTGGTAGGATTAATACTGAAAATGGTTGTCCTACCAAAGGCTGTTTACAGCTTTAATGCAGTCCTAGTCACACTAGCCAAAGCAATCCTGAGCAAAAAGTCAGTTTAGAGGGATTACCATCAGGCTTCAAGATCTATTACAGAGCTAGAGTGATAAAAATAGTATGGTACTGGAGTAAAAATAGACATGTAACTGAATGAAACAGAACAGTATCAAACCATAAGTTCACATAACTTGAGCCATCTGATGTTTGAACCAAGAACCAAAACACACACATTGGAGAAAACAAAAATATTTTCAACACATGGGGCTGGGAAAGCTCAAAGTCCACATGTAGAAGACTGAATTAAACCTATCACTCTGAACCAAAGTGAACTTCAAATGGATTAAAGACCTCAATATGAAACACGAATGTTGAAACTGCTAGAATGAAAAGTAGGCCGTACTACTTACTCTTTAAGATATAGAAAGGAAAAGACTTTCTAAATAAGACCCCTTTCCCCAGGAATAAAGGCCAATAATGGACAAGTGGGACCTCATAAAACTGAGAAGTTTCTGTGAAGCAAATGAAATGTCCAAGCCCATAGAGTGGGAGAGAATCTTAGCTAGCTACACATTTCATAGAAGTTTAATACCCAGAACACACAGCTACTCTGAAAATCAGTGTGGAGAATCCTCAAAATAGATACAAAAATGGGTCTACCCTCTGAGCCACCTACACCACTCCTTGGCATATGCCCAAAGTGTGTGATGATCCTACTGTGCAGATGCTTGCTCATCCATGTTCATTTCTGCTCTCCTCAACAACAGCCAGGAACTACAAATTCGTAAGTGTACTTCAGCCGATGAGTGGATAATAAAAATGTACATATACACAATGGAATACCATTCATCTAAGAAAAATCGTGAAATATTCAGGTAAGTGGATAGACTGAGTAAGGTAACCCAGAAAGATAAATGTCACATGTTCTCTTTTATTTGTGGATCTAGTTCCTTGTGTGTGTGTGTACCTGGGAGTAACTGCAGAAAGCAGGAAAGTGGAGAGAAGGGGCCCTAGAGAGGGGAACAGCGGGATGTAGGTTCTGTGACTGGGGAAGAGGGATTAAGAAAACCATAGGGAATCATTTTATGTTTACCCGAAATTCCATAAAATGTATAAATATTATATTAAATTTCTTTAATGAAGTGATATCAGTGAAGTGGTAATGCTTCCCCCAAGAGCCATAGACGAACAAGAACTCCAGTACTAGGTATGAAAACCTCCTTTGGAGTTGCTGGTAGAGGAGTCCAAGAGACCCCCAAAACCATATAGGCTATTCTTATTGCCCTTGGTTGCTCCTCATAATTTGTAAGTAAGTCCCTATTGCTGAAGACACCACCCACTTCAGATACAGGACTTTGCGGAAATCCAGCTGGATCTGACCTCAAAGTCTCCTCCCTGAGGACTAGCTCTCATAGTAGCTGAAGGTGCTATGCAAGCTGCCAAGGGAGAAAATCAACAGACCTATCCAGCTATGATGTTTATGAACTACAACAATGACCAACACAGCAAGATCATCCTAAAAGGCAATAATGACACTTATATCTTGGACATAACTAACAGCTGTCTAACTGGACTTAAGACCTGTTCAGTAGAGAGTAATTATGCCTGGTACTATACACTTAGCCCACTACCCAATGGAACCAGAGAATCTATTACTGCCACTTTCTTAGACCAGTGTAATCTCTTAATTGCATTCTAAATACTTATCCTTATACCTGCAGATGAGTTTACCTCTTATCCCCCATTGAAGAAGCCAAAGGACTAGAATGCCCACTGCAGGATTGTACCTGAGTACAATATACAGGAGAGGGAAGCTGCACCCATGAAACTTCAGCAATATGGCTGCTCAAATAAGACAACTGGGAGAAATCTTACAAGGCCATACTCCTAAATGAAGAGCTATAGGCAGTTAACAAGAGAGGAGAATCAGTCAAGAAAGCCCCATAATTTGTTATCTAATAACAAGTGGTCAGCCCTAAATACATATATGAGCAGCACTTTATGGACCCAGCAGGGTGTGTTTATATATTTATACATGTTATAATCAGAATTAAAGAAAAAAGAAAACAAAAAATAACACTAATCTAGTAATTTGTGTCTGTTACTCTACTTACTCCAGCAGTAGATGGGTGGGATGGGATAGAAGACAGTGTTGTTTGCTGGGTGGCAACTGAAGATGACCGCTGCTGTGGGAGCTCAGTGGTTTTCACATGTTTGTAACCTGCAAAGAAGAAAATGCGAGCCTCTATAAAGGCATGTGGTAGACAGCTCAGCTGTTACTGACCAAGCAGTGTTTTTCTCTAATTAATGACTCCTGTGAAGAGAAGAGCTAGTAAAATTATGAAAGTTAGACATGTAATTCCATAGTTCTAGTCTTTTCTCAGATAAGTAATTGACTTTTAGATTTAAAACACTGCCTAGCAATAGTCAGTGATCTGACCTCATAACTTCAGTCCATTACCACCCACTTGATTGTCTCAAACAAACAGGACACTAACAAAAATAAAGTCTCTTCATAGCACAGGCTGGCCTCATATGTGCAATCCTCTAGCCAGAGCCTCTCAAATGCTGGCATGACAGTTGTGCATGACCACACCCATCTGGCAAAGTCTACTTGTACCTGTTGAGGTTGCAGAGAAGAAGGCACCTCCATCACTGTATGTGGAAAAGCGCTGGTCTGCAGAGTGCTCAGACTTGTCCTCACCCCCACTGATACTCAGTGCACTGGCAGATCTCGACTGCTCCCGGCTCCGGCGTTGAGCTTGGACTAGGACACAGGCAACAGAGAGCTAAGGTTTCTACAGCAGTTTTTTTTTTTTTTTGTTGAACATAGAAGTTCTAAGTGGTTTTCTATGGTTTTTCTATGCAAATTCTTTTCAGATGAGAGATTAAATGGCCAAAGGCAGCTTAAGTGGCAGAAGGAGGTTTCAGATTCGTATCTGTCTTTACAGGGCTTTCCCACCACCACATTCCTATTCCTGGCTCACTTCAATGACTAAAGGGCAGTCACATCCACATTTCAGTTTCTTCAGAAAGACCTCCCTCACTTTCAGATAGATGGAGGCGTCTTTCCTGTGTTCCCTGCTATTGCAAGCACAACCTTAAAATTGCGTATGTCAGGGTAGAACCAAGAGTCACTACTGGTCTCTCTTTATCCACAGACTACAGCATAACATATTTTACTTAAAAAAAAAAAAAAAAAAAAAAACAGCAAAAAAGTAGGGAGCCCTGGCTGGCCTGGAACTCAATGTGCAGAACAAGCTAGGTTCAAACTCAGATCTGCTTGCCTCTGCCTCCTGATTACTGGGATTAAAAGAATACACAACACTGTCTGGCCCAATGGTTTATTTTCTATATGAGCAGACAGTGAATATGAGAATATCCCCCTAACACAAATAGTTCAAACTGTTCCCGATGAACATGTATGTTCTCTTCCCTTTGTCTACGTATTATCAACTTTCCTTTAACTTACTAACTTTGCTCTTTAGGAAAAATACAGAGATGATAATCATGGGATCTGAAGGAAACATGAAGTGAAATAGTTTGTTAGAATCTTGACCCGACACTCAGTGGGCAAGATCAGAAGATGAAAACCCTAGAGGGAAGGAACACTCATTGACTCTATATATAAATTCACTTTATGAAAATATGATAGCATGATGAATCTCTTCTTGAACATATTCCAGCAGGCTGGCCAGCAATCACAAAGAATTCTTATGGCTGAAGAGATGGCTCAGCAGTTAAGAGCATGTTAAGACCAGCAGTTAAGACCACTAGATGGTGATGTTTATGTTGTGAATCTCTGGGAGCGTGCATACCATTAATCATGTGTAAACTTCTGGATTGAATGTTGTCTTCTGCGGGATCATAGTCAAAAACTGAACCAGGGTTAGTACGCCAGACACGCAGACCTGAAAGGAAAGCCAGCAGTCAGAAACAAAAATGTTCTCACATTTGTAATTTGAGAACCAAGCAGGAGTGCTGGCAACTGCAGGAGGGCTGGGCTGTCCTATTTAGCTTACGTTCTGGTCTTGGAACAAAGATGGCAAAAGATGCCTCTGAGATCTCAGCTTTAAAAACTGGCTAAAGGGGCTTTCTTTCATAGGTTTGTGTCCTTTGTCTTCCATTTGCTGTAACTGTCACTTTGTTGTCAATTACCTGTAATGGTATCTTGATCCTGGTCATTCCGTTTTTGCTCCATTTCTACCACTTTTCTTTGAATACCTCGGTAGTTGATGTCACTGAAGTCCTGTGTGTTTTTCTTTACTCGTTCAGTGATAGGATCTGTCACCACTGGTGTGAAACAGCCCTTGTGTTTCTCAAAGTCTTCATGATATTTCACCTGAAATATAAATTCACTTTATGAAAATATGATAGCATGATGAATCTCTTCTTGAACATATTCCAGCAGGCTGGCCAGCCAATCACAAAGAATTCTTATGGCTGAAGAGATGGCTCAGCAGTTAAGAGCATGTGTTGCTCCCGTAGGGGACCTGGTTTCAGTTCCCAACACACATGTGGCAGTTCACAAACATGTGACTCCAGTTCCAGGAGATCTAATATCCTTCTTGTGGCCTCTGCAGGCATTGCACACACATAGTAAACATACAGACAGGCAGGCACATACCTATAAATAAACATGTATTTAAAGAATAATTTCAGACTTACTGTTGAGATGTGCCGTTGGGTTTCTCTCACTCGTCTCATCTCTGGTGTATCTAGCACATAGGCAGCTTTGCCTTGTATTTGTTTCCGGAAGCTATCAGAATAAAGAACCTATGGAGGAGAGACCATGCATGAGCACGTGGCATGGCATTCTTCTAATTCTTAAACTCAAAGAAGAAACTGGTGAGGGAAGTTTGAGTCAATAGATGGTGGCCAGATACTGGACCAGAAGTGTATCAGATCAGAACAAGGACAGGCAAGGCTTGCATCAGAAGACACAAGACTTGTTTTGACTTTGAAAATGAAAATATTTTTTTCAAAGGAGAAGGGGCACAGTATAAGTCTGAAAAAGAGGAAGAAAGTGGCCTCTCAAATTTACTAGGAATTGCAATGCCAGTGCCAGAATATTTGATGGCACTTTGCATTAAAATCTGATACTGAAAGGAATTTGAAAGACCTGGCTTTTGAAGCATGTAACCATTAGGTAATGCCCAGACTACACAAACCAAGATGCCCAAACCAAAATCAGAGTCTTCCAGACACAAAACACAAGAATATCAAAGTGAAGATAGTAATTTCTGGGTATTACCCATTTAATAAAGTACCTTAGAAATAACAACTGGAGTAGAAGATGTTAGGGGTCAATTTGTTACAGCTGGTTATGAAAATCTACCTTAAGAGTCTAGTGTAAGAGGAGGAAACCATAGGCAATTATCGTAAGTTTAGTATGACCATTTGGAATGGAAAAGCATGGCTGTGTTAATTTTAGTATAAATTTTCAGTGAAAGAACTGCACATTTTTATGATGTTAAAACATTTTCCAAGATGTTGCATTATCTGTTGTTTTAAAGTTTAGTATCATTTTTCAGTTGAAAACCAAAGGCGTGTTTTCATGATGTTAAAATGTTAATTCCAAGTTGTTCCACTGCTCTAGTTAGTGGGAAATACCGAGCTAATGTTTTCTTGGTTGCGCTTAGCTCTCTCCATCTCTGGAGTAACAGGTGTTGGAGTTGCTTTTCTCATATTCTCTTTGTACAATACCTAGAGGAGCCAAGAGAGTATCCTGACATCAGAAAGCAAAAGAAAAAAGTTTTGAAAAGTCATTGTTTAGCTGTTGTTATGGCTCAATTGTGTCACACAGTATAAGAAACACCCCAGGAGGAGAAAGCCATTAAAATGTTACAGTAGAAAGCGAGAGATAAAGGCTTGAACTTGATGTGAACTAGCAAGGTTGGGTTGTTTTTAAGTGGCCAAGGAAGAATTTTAAAAGGGATCAAGTCATGGAAACACTAAGAATTAGTGGTATAGCCATGATGGTCAGGCTTGTTAGAATTTTAATGGTTTAAGTTTCCTCTTAAATACCGAGCTAAAGTTTTCTTGATTGCGTTTGACTCTTTCCATCTCAGGAGTAAAGGGTGTGGGGGTTGCTTTCCCCATATTCTCTTTGTATAGCACCTGTGAGAAACAAAGTTGTACCTAAAAGTCACTCTCTAAGAAGCAATATTCACTATTAAATATAAATACAGTGGGTAAGGGAAGGGAAACATTAGGTGTAACCTGTTGCTATTAGTGAGAATTGCTCTCAAGAAAAAAGCAAAAATAGTTAATGGCAATGATAAATGTGTGTGATATTTAAGGGAGATTAAGCGTAACTGGTATTTATTTATTTATTTATTTATTTATTTTAACCTTGGAGAGGATTAAGAGCAGGCCAAACTGCAAGGGTTACTTTGTAAAATTAGAAGCACTTTCATTTCTCAAGACAATACCGAGCTAATGTTTTCTTGATTGCGTTTGACTCTCTGCATCTCTGGAGTGACAGGGGTTGGGGTGGCTTTCCCCACACTTTCTTTGTACAAAACCTAAAGGAGTCCAGTGGATCCAAAAAGTCCAAAAGGAGACACAACAACAACAAAAGAGTTACAATTACCAAAAGAAGAAATGGAACAATACATTAACTTTTGATGAGGCTCTGGGCACCAAATCATTTAAGCACTGAGGTTAGGTAGCAGTCTATGTTTTCAAAGGAGAAGTTGACTGCAGTTAGAGCAAGACACACGTTTCTATGACACTACCTTGCCCTGAGACTTGCAGATTCCAAGTGAGAACTGTGATGTTACAGAAAGCACACAGCCCTGCCATCATTTTGCCTCCAGTATGTGACTGTCAGTGCCCCGATACACCATCTAGTTGGGAGTTACCACTATGGCTTGTGTCATGGAAGTTGAAGTTGCCCCAGTACAACAGCTGTTTAATGGGTGTTTCTGAAGCACAAGCTCTCACTCAGTAAAATTGTAGACCCCAGGAAAGTGTTTCTCTTATTCTTCTATCTTTGTTTTCTGCTTATTCTATTCACTAAATATTTCACATGGATCAGCCATGAGAAATGTCTTCAATAATTACACTACCAGCGTGGAAAAGCAACAGACACATGTCCCGATAAAGCCTCAACCTCAATGTCTTCCCTGGTGTCTTTCTAGGTGACCTGGAAGATGTGGGAGACAGCACTATGAAGGGGTTCTCTTCTAGCAATTCTCCAAGTCCTTGACTAACTGTGTCAGCTGAGAACTTATTAGAACTGCCTGGTCTCAGCTCTATACTGACAAAACAAAGGGAGCATGGGCCAGACCTGGAAACCTGGTGCAATCAGCGTTCAGATGGTTCTGATGGAGAAACTTTCAGGTGGTGTAAATGCTGAACAATAACTTCTCTACTGAAAGCTAATGTCCCCACAAACCTTATCCCACAGTCATTGACAGATTGCTACCAGAGAGCACAAGCTTGAAGGAAATAGATCGTTAGAGTTAGCACTAAAGATCAGAATAAAGATAACAAAATCAACATGGAGGTCACTAGTCACAAAGCCTTTTTGGTGACACTTTCTTTTTAAGCAAGTTACTCAACTGTGAAAACAACACTGGATTGCATTTACATTGTTATCTATGGAAGATAATAGGAGCTACTTTCCCAGGGTCTCTTTGCCCATGTCTGTCATAGAAGGGCTGGGAACATAGCTCAGTGTAAGAGCCCATCTTAGTCTGTGTAAGGCCCTGCACACTGATCCTATGCACCACAAAAGATTCAAATATGGTGGGGTGAACCCCAAACTATCAAAGGCTTCAATGTCTAACAGAGAGTCCCATTATACCTCTTAGTCCACTCATCAAGGTCCCCTCAAGCTTTTCAGAAACACAAAGAGATCCGTGGGTATAGCAGAGAGTAAGTTCAGGGAGAGATGAGCAGAAAATATTTTGTAGGAAAATCTGTTACCTCAATATTAGAATTTTAAATGGAATAAAGCAATTTTGTTATGAAGTTAAGGTTAGGAATGAAGGATGTGTGTAGTCAAGTAATGGATAAGATTTAAGGTGCCTTTTAAAAATAGGATTAATAGGAATTATTTTAAGTCATTGAAGTAGTTTTAAAATCATTAAGAAGTTATTTTTTTTTTCTTGTCAGAGTACCGAGCTAATATTTTCTTGATTGTGTTTGACTCTCTCCATCTCTGGAGTGATGGGTAAAGGGGTTCCCTTGCCCATGTTTTCTTTGTATAGCACCTGTATGATGAGAAAGTATCAGAGAAAACAATGGTAAGTGACATTTCATTTAAAGGTAAGGTCAACTTCTTTGGTACAAAATAACACAGGAGCTAGGAGTTATATGCTGACAAGTTGCCATGTGCTATTTAAGGAAGCTTTTACTGGGCTGGGAAAGCCATGTGACACAGAAGCAAGGACCTAAACTGCTAGCTAGGAAAAGCTGTTAGAGTCATTCACACTGTTTTGTTTTGTTTTTCTCATCTTTGTGAGCATGATACCTCCTAAGCAATTGCGGGGATTTGAGATGGTTAGAACTTAGTTTTGTTATCCACAAAACTAGAATATTTATTTCTTTTTGTAAAAAAAAATGTTTAAAAGTATCAGGTGAAGTAAAAAAGTCAAAACATAAAAATGAGAAAAAAATCCTTTTACAAAGATGCATTAGAAGCAAAGGAAAGGAAGAGGGTTTAATGATGAGTTTGCTTCTGAAGTTAAATGGCATCTTTCCCCCGCTTCTTTCCAAAATACCGAGCTAAGGTTCTCTTGATTGTGTTTGACTCTCTGCATCTCAGGAGTGACGGGGATCGGAGTTCCTGTCCCCAGGTTTTCTTTGTATAGCACCTATAGGATAAGAAAGCATGCAGAACAAAAAGGGCCATCAATCACTTTCCCGCTCTTGTGGAGCAGTTGGCTGTGGGAGGGCAAAGAGGAAGAGGAATTAGAGATGGGGAAGTACCAAAAGCTTCAACCTGTAAGACAAAAGGACTGCAGGAAGGAACCACGGAGAAGACGATATTAAAAGGTTGTTATTTTTGTTGTTTGAGCTCATTTCTGCAGGTAAGCAATAAAGAGCATTACGAAAGGGAGAAATTAGTTGTTGTCATTATGAGAAAATAACAGGAGATAGAAACCAATCCAAGAAAGTCATTTTCATAAGTCATGTAAAGGATGTTTGAGTTTTATAAGTATCATCTATGGGAAGATTTATACACACTTTTATTGACTTTCCAATGAAGTCAAAGTATTTAATTTTTAGTTTGGTGAACATATTGAGAATGATTATGTTTAAGGTAACTAGAGTCATGGTAAGATTCTAAAAAGAAACTTCAAAAGGACTATGCAGGTGCCAGGAGAGGTGAGGTTAGGATAGGAAATGAGCCGGAGGCCAGATCTTCACACAATGGTGCTTTTGAAGCTGTGTGTTCATGTCACATTTGCCAAAGCAAGGTAAATACAGATGCTGAGACACCGAGGGTGTTACTTTTTAAGCTGGGATACTTTTAATGATCAGGTTAATGTTTAACCAAGGTAAGGAAACTGACTCATAGGGATATGGCAGCATTAAGTTGAATACAAAACAGGTCATATTTTAAAAACTGGGATAAGTTAATCAGATTTTAAGGTTCTAGTCAGTAATTGTTTAAAAAGCATTTTAAAAATAGTTAAGGGTTTTTTTTTTTTTAAATTTGTAAATACCGAACTAAAGTTTTCTTGATTGTGTTTGACTCGCTCCATCTCTGGAGTGATGGGGATCGGAATCCCTTTCCCAAGGTTCTCTTTGTACAACACCTGTATGACACAAGAAAGCATGGGGGGGGGGGACACAGCAGTCAGACTATGAGATACAGACATCCAGCAGCAAAGACCATGCCCACTGCCCTGGGTGCTGTGTGATGAGTACATTTCATCTGTTCATCTTTCTACTCTAACCCACAGAATTAGGGGGAAATACAGTTATATGAGAGCACAGAACTGCTCATTATGCAAAAGAGAGAACTGAGTCAGAAAACAGTTCCTTTTTCTACATAGGACATTTGTCTTAGAACATCATAGGTATTTGCAACTGCAGACTGAATCTGTACTCTGACTAAATTGGTCTTTGTTGAGGTTACAGAAATAATCAAATCCAAAAGTCCACGTTAATATATAGTCTTCCCATAGTATCTGAAAGGCCTGGGTACAACTGGACAATGCTGTCTAACATAACCAGTGTAAAATTAACACAAATCATACTTTAAGAAAAAGTTGTCCAGGGCCATTAGAATTATTAGTGTCAAATAGATATACATAATAATACACTGTAATATAGAAATAACTAAAATATCATTTTGAAAAGTGATACCTTTCCCCCAAAAGGAGTAATAAACTCTTAGGAAAAACAGTAAATAAACACCCCAAAAGTCATATCAGCATACAATGAAAACTTACTGAAATTGAGAAGTTGTTAGTGAGCAGTAATTAGGAACAGAACAAAAGGTGGAATCAAAGGAACATATTGATCTAACTGTGTGAAAGAGGAACTGTCTCACAGAAAATCAAACTGGTAGGAGGCACTTAAACTAAAATGGAGCACATTTGGATCAACCCTCCTCCCTCAAAGCGGATCCAGTTAAATTTTCAGAGGATGTGTGAATCTTCATTTCAGGCCCAGACTTTCCTTATACTAAGGGACAACAGCTTATTTATTATTGTAGTTTTTTAGGAACACCAGTTAATAAAAGAAAACAATAATGTAAATATATGTTCTGATTTGATTGGCATGTTTCAAAAAAGAAAAACATGCCTATGTTTTTTCTTAGCACTAGGGAGGCTGAGGCAGGAAGATGGCACATTTAAAGCCACCCTGAACTATACAGTAAGATCCTGTCTTTAAACAAAATGGAGAGCATAAATTTCTAGTCATAAAATGGCTTGTTCAGGACAACTATCAAAGTAAGGCTTTTGGTTCCAGTGCTGAGCGTTTTTCTTTGCTGTTTATCTGGTGAGACCTCTGGTAAGGACACCACTTTGCCCAAGCACAGGTGCTGTTCCTACACACAGCCTTTGATCAGTGTTTTTCCTTGTTGCACTAATCCGGAAACATCAGATTGAAAGATTTCCAAGTAAAAACAAACTACCAGGTTTGGGTGGTTTGGAAATCAATTAGTTTCGAAAGTACCAGTACAAAAAGGAAAGAGTCAATTCAAAGTGTTAAGGGGGGGAGCCCAAGTGGTGGAGCACTTGTCTAGTTCGTGCAAAGCCACAAGTCCATTCCCAATACCACATACAGATATACCTATACATCTAACAAAAAGAAATTTTAAAGGGTATTTCAGAAAGTATAAAGCATTGAGATTAAATGGTAAGTAAAATATCCAGGACAGAAGAATTCAGTTGGTGAGTTTTTTTTCTTTTCAAAGATTTGTTAAATTATTATAAAGGGATAAACGATATGGATTTTGTTTTATTGAAATTATTCTTTTTAATATGGAGTTAAAGGAACTTTCTCGAAAATACCGAGCTAAAGTTTTCTTGATTGCGCTTGACTCTCTCCATCTCAGGAGTGACAGGCAGTGGGGTCCCCTTGCTCAGGTTCTCTTTGTACAATATCTGCGTGCACAGAACCAACGATCACATCAGTCTGGATCCATCTTTTAGATAGATTTGACCTTAAAATGACTCTCCAAGAATACTTGTTCTTATAAGGGAGCAAAGCAAAACCAAGAAATAGAGCAACTGTGGACCGACTGCTTTGTGCACTTATTTGCACACCATATAATGGTTGGTTTCTCAGTGACACCACTGTACACACAGGGCTGCTTCACTTACACATACCTTTTGAAATATTCAGGATTAGACTTTATTAAACAGTATTTAGCTTCTTGAAGTTACTATCTATAATGAGTTAGAGGCAGCACTGAACCAGAAAAACAGAGGGCCTTGGGAGACTAATAAATATTCATGAACATTAAAACTACATACATTATCAATTTAGCAGTGGTCCTGAATACATACATCCCTTATAGGAAAGCTCACCTACAACTTACATGGCATGCAGACAAACTCACTGATATAAGTAAATCGATATTTCTGAGTTAGTGTGAATTGGTCTGTTGTTTTCAAAATGAAGATGTTTAAGAATCATGACCATTTAGAAAAAGCTACATATACAAAAAAAAAAATGAAGCCACAATAAATACAATTCTGATTAGTGCTGTTCTATGGGGAAGGATGTTAGATTTTTCTTTTGACCTGTACCACACTAGTTAGAACTAGAGGAAGGAAACTGAGAATTATAGGTTTTTAAGGAAAGTGATACATAGCTATGTTTAAAAGAAAAAACCAGTTAAAATTTCATACCAGTATTAAAAGTTACATTAGATTTGGGTTGAAATCTTAAGTGATATTGGTATCATTCTTTAATTATCTGAATTTAGTAATTTTACATTTGTATGTTAAAGATATTAATGTGGCCATTATTTTAATAAGAATTAGGGTTGGGATTTTTGCCCCTGAGAAATACCGAGCTAAAGTTCTCTTGATTGCGTTTGACTCTCTCCATCTCTGGAGTGATAGCTGTAGGGGTTCCTTTCCCCAAACTTTCTTTGTACAAAACCTGTGAGATACAAGAAAGTACCCAGAAGACATTAAAAAACAAGCCAGAGACAGAGGAAGGAGGGGGGAGGGTGTGGGTGGGGAGGGAGGCTTTAGACAGCAGTATTTAGTCAGGGCAATGCTTTTGCACACTGAAATTTTAAAGATGAACTTTACACCACTACATCTTAGGATAGAGAGGTACAGTAGTTCTAGGGTGCAAGCACCCCAAGGAAGCTTGTTAATGCTGTTGACTGTATTACAGACCTAGCTCACACCAGTCAGTTGCTAAAAAGGTTAAAGAGCAATGAGAAGAGTGACCATTCTGAGTAAGGTAGGATGACTTTGATCAGAGGGCCATTCACAAACACAGTCATTAAAATGTTACTTTGAAAAGTAGACCGGTGGTTATTCTGGTAGTTTTTTATGGAAAAGAATTTCTTATTTCATATAGCCATAAATACCGAGCTAAAGTTCTCTTGATTGCGTTTGACTCTCTCAATCTCTGGGGTGACAGTTGTTGGAATGCCTGTTCCCAAGTTTTCTTTGTACATAACCTGCAGAATAATTAAAATACCCAGAAAACAAAGTGACCACAAATCTTTAGATTACAGCTACTTGGGGGTATTTGGGTGTCCATAAAAACAAGCTACATTTGTAATATGAACTCAGGGACAAAGGAAAACAAAGTCCATAAATATTTGTAGAAATTTTGCCGTCTTGAAAACTGGATCCTAAATTTTGTATTTTCTATAGTCAATAGTTAGTATATTCTTGAAATGCATTAAATTATGACAATAAATTTAATTAACAATGAGAAACATTTTTGACTAGGGCATGTGCAAAACCCTGGGTTCAGTTGCCAGTAATCACCCTCCTCAAAAAATAAAAACAAAAAAAAACTAACCCCAAACTAACCATTTCATTGTACCCAGTCCTAATGTCTTGTGCATACCAGGTCTACATATCTGTAGTCAAAGCACATGTTGTCTGTTTTATATTTTCTAACCATGTGATGTTCTAATCCTCCTTCAGAGTCGTTGAGAATTTATGTATTTCTTACTGTTTCATCATATACATACATATATACATACATATACATATATGTGGCAGGCTCTCTTGCTACCTAGCCCTGACTTATGTTAAACTCCCAGTATTTCCCTTGCTTCAGCTTCCTGAGTGCTGGGATTACAGGCATGCATAACCCCTGGCTTTAATGAAACCATAGGTGATCCTTAGTTGGATACTTAATATGAGCAGGTATAAATTGTATTTTAGGAGCAGCATCTTTCTCCGAAATTTTTAGGCATGATTGTGGGATCAAGTAACCTAGTGCTGTGGGCTGGTCTTTTTTCACTGTTTATTTTTGTGTTTTATTTGCAGTGTTGGGATTGAGCTCAGGGCCTCATGCAGGATAAACAAGTATTCCACCACTGAGCTATGTCCTCAGTCCCTGCACTAAACCTATGTTTTTTAAGGGATACTACCAAAGGACTGTAAATTTTAACAAAAACAGGAAGGGATCACCACTTTCTAAACCTCTTATCTCTTTTCCTCTTACTAAGTTGCAGCCTGGTGGTGCATGCCTTGAATCCTGTCACGTGGAGGCAGAGGCAGGGGGACCACCAGAATCGAACAAAACTACAGAAAGGCAAGAAGTTATAACCCAAAGCAACACAGAACCCCCAAGCTTGTTTTCTTTTCAGGTTAGTGGACAGAAAATTCAAAATGAAGTTTACAACACAAAGAAGATATAAGGAGCAAAAGGGAATGAGCTACAACCAGGACTAAGGCCTCTTGGCTACTTCTACAACCTGAGAGGGCTTAGGGACGAGTCACAGCATCCCTCAGCATGGGAGGCCTTCAGTAGAAGGAAGAGATGAATGAACTAGGGTACCAGTTAAGAGGTGGCCCATCACACAAATGCATGCCAAGTACAAGTCTGTACCGAGCTAATGTGCTTCTGGGTCTCCTTGACACGCTTCACTTCGGGCAGGTCAGGGATTGGAGTTCCTTGTCCAATTGCTTCTTTATACTTGACCTATATGGAAATAGGGACACAAAGGCATAACTGCATGCTCAATTCTTCCCACTACGTATGTATGGTTGATTAGTAGTCCTGTAGTTTTCGAGGGTGTTGGAGAGATTGTGCACCTTTAGTATACTTTCTATTAACCCAGTTTTATTTTTATTGTCTTAAGACAAGGCCTCTGTAGACCAGGCTGACCTCAGACTCAGAGATTCATCTTGTTTTGCCTCCTGAGTGGTAGGCTTAAAGGTGTGTGCCACCACACCCAGATTACCTTTTTCTTAGTTAAGTGCTTGCCATGCACTGTGGCGTTCTGTTTTGCAGTTTTGAGGCATCACAGCAAACAAGCATGGGTTATGTCCCTCTTTTTTTTTTTTTTTGTTTTTTTGTTTTTTCGAGACAGGGTTTCTCTGTGTAGCTTTGGAGCCTATCCTGGCACTCGCTCTGGAGACCAGGCTGGCCTCAAACTCACAGAGATCCGCCTGCCTCTGCCTCCTGAGTGCTGGGGTTCAAGGCGTGCACCACCAACACCCATCGTTATGTCCCTCTTTTCCAAGTTCACAGACATAAAATTTCATTCCATTGTATCTCTTAGCAACCTTAGCCGATGGCATCTTTACTTCTTACATGGAACGCTTTGACCTTTATACAGAAGAAGCACAGTGAAGTGCATTGGTTTATCTGCATGGTCAACATTGCTCCTCTTGCTCTTTGGGGCCATCACTAGTAAAATAAGGGCTGCTGAACACAAACATTGCAGTACTAAAATCTGGCAATGCAGACAGCAAGGAAGGACAGGTAGCATGCACTTCAGAATGTACTGAATGAATGCAAGAATCATGCCTTAGGTAGGATGAGATGGAAAGCCATGAAATCTATTGTATCAGAGAGAATAACTATTCTGGGATTTTGCTTTTAACATTTTTGGATCAAGATGGCTTGCGAGGCAACTGAGATTAGAGAATGCAAAAGGAGGAAGAGACCTCCTGCCCACCAGCATCTTTAGGTCCAACAGTCCATTTCATTAGGACATATGTAGCCACACATATGTCTTCAGAAAGGTGCATTCTTTGAAGTTGGTATGTTCTATTTTCTCATAAACCTCTGCTCTTCCTCTCTAACCTCATCTTCATGAGGCCTCCACCAGCATGTAGCATGTGGTGATGGCCATGCACAGAGACCTGTTTTTAGGTTGGATGCTGTTTCTGGTGACAGGTATAGAGTATGTCTGAGAAATCACTGATTTATCAAACTCAGGTTGAGAACAGAACAAATGACTCTGACATGTCCTTACCGAGCTAATGTGGTCCTGCGTTTGCTTCACTCTTAGCATCTCAGGGGTCTTTCCAATTGCTGTCCCCGGGGAGACATCCTCTTTATACAGAACCTGGGCATTCAGAATCAGGAGAATATTATACAGAAAGGAGGAAACCCTGGGCAGTGCCTGGAGAAAGACTAGCCCACATGGCTTCTGTAAAAACAAAGACACTACACACTGTTTTCAGGCAAGAGCTGAAGAATTGCTTCTGAAGTCCTATCAGCATCAAAACCCAAAGCCATATAGGCAAGGCCAGCCACTCGCCATCTTTTGAGAGTTCTCTTTAGAATACCACAGCATATTAATACAGGATGAGGAAAAACAAGAAAACATTAATTAAAAACCACAGAACTCCGTTAAAGAAATGCAAAGTCAGTCAGTTATTTTGTAGAGGGCTAATAAAAGAAAATCACATCACAGAGAAATCTACCGCCTTGGAACGAGACAACACGTGTTACTGTCTGAGTTACTATGTGAGATTAAAAGATATAAAGAGAAGAGTTATTTTGTTAGATTTAAGTTATCTCAAATGTTCTCAGGAATGACGATTTGGGAACAAAGTTTGGGCTGTTTTACCAAGGACCCACTACCATTAACTGGGCAAGTTAGAGGTTAATTGCCTGTGTGGGGCTCAAGTATCTTCTTAAAGAGAATGACATTGTTAGGTTAGCATTAGATGGAGAGTAAATAGTAAATGTACCGAGCTGAAATTCTTTTGGTTTTCTTTGACACGCAGTATTTCTGGCGTGTCTTGAACAACTGTAATTTTCCCTTTACTGTTTTTAAGGTCACACTGGTATTGGAGCTACGAAGAAAGAGCAAATATCCTGTTAAGATTCCAACATTGTCTGACACATTTTGTAATTGCTCTACATTGTGAATGGGAAGTTACAATTGTATATTAATGAAAGCCCATGCCAAAATAATCACAGTGTGATTGCCCAAAGTTGATTTTTTACTAAGACTTTTGTAGAGAAACTAATTTTAGTGATTGGGTGTTGCTAGAGACTTGCTGGGGATTGAACCTGGAGACTTACACCACATGAAGCATATGTTCTAACACCAAGCTATGTGTGTTCCCAGACACAGAACTCATTTTTAAAAACCTAAAATGTATAAAAAATTTTAAAAAGTATTTCTTGCTTAGATTTAGTTGGAGAAGGACATGTTAACCGTAAAAAAGGATGGTGATAGTTTGTATTTGGTGACAAGAAGCCGCCTATTGAGCAGACGAGACTTTCATGCTCATTGGGACTAAAGGGCATGGGGAGACCAGAGAAGATTCATGTGTACTCCTCTGCCCCCATGGGATGCCACGTGTGTGTCCTCAAAGTCACTCCCGCTTAGCCTGCTGCCTGCCCCCCAGTAGGCTGGGCCTTAGTGGAACAGCAGCTTACAAGGCTGAAGTTCTTCTGGTTCTCACGGACTCTTTGCATCTCTGGAGTGTCCAGGACAGTCTCATAATACGACATGGACTTCTCTGCATCTTCCTTGTACTTTTTCTGGGAAAAGATTCCAAGAAACAGGGAGCATGAGTGCCATAGTTATGGAGGCTGGTAACCTGAAACAGCCCTTCCACATCAGCAGAAGGAAGGCTCTTTGCACCCTGTCCATGCAGGCACACCCTGGTCACCACCAGAGAGTACTAACATATGAAGAAATGTGTTGCTTTTTATATAGTTTTCGTATTTGTTTAATTTGACTTCTGAGACAGGATCTTGCTGTACAGCCTATATTGGCCTCCAGCCCTGCCCTCCCCAAGTGCTGAGATTACATGTACTTGCCGCCCCATCCGGCTTTCCTGCCTTTTGTCACTGGATTTGCAGGAATCCCTAAACTAGCCAGCCTGGGATGCCCCAGGTTGTGTGGTTCAAGTTGGTGACTCAATGGCAGCCATGAGTAGGTGGTCTACTTTGTGTCTTCCCCACGTACTCACACACCTTAAACCCACGTTATAACAGATGCTAAAATATTCATTATTGTGAGTTGTACTTCCGAAGTGCCCTGCAGTTCCTGGAACTTCCCTCTTGTTGGTTTGGGTTTCTTCTTCCAGTGTTTTGGCTAGAACCCAGGTCATCACACTTTACTACTGAGGTGCCCACACACAAAGCCTTCTTACAATCTATCTTTACATCTCATTCAGAAATCTCAATTCTGACTCAGATCTGCACTGTAAATAAAGGCCTTCTGCTCTGGCGGGGAAAACTGTGGGATTTGAAAACAATTCATTGGGAATTAGCAGGAAAACCTTTGGCCTCAGGAAATCCTACCTGGCTGGAAAGGTTCTTGACCTGCTGAGCATGAATGATCTCTGGGGTATCAACGACAGAAGTGAAATTGGCTTTTTCCATTTCTGCTGATTGCTTGTACTTAATCTGTGAAAGGACACCCAACAAACAGTTCAGTGAATGTTTACAACATGCAGAGCACTTATAGGCTTGGTTGAATTAAGAGCTGATCATACTTCTTCTTTTTTTTTTTTTAAATCTGTCATTCAATAACATCTCTTCCTGCAGTGGTTATAGTTTTTAAAGTTTTAAATTTATGTGTATGGGTGTTCTGCCTGTAGGCATGTCTGTGTACCACACTCGTGCCTGGTGCTTGTAAAGGCCAGGAGAGGATGTTAGATGTCCGGGAACAGGAGGTATAGAAGGCAGTGAGCTGCCTGGGAATCTACCCCAGGTCCTCAAGAGAAGCCAGTACTCTTAACCACAGAGCCACCTCTCCTGCTGTATTCATAGTTTTACATTAAAGAGTGAGATTCAGAAAAGCCTTGGCTATTGAAAGCCTTACTATCCACTTAGATGTAGGATGAGTATGGGCAATCAGGTGGTCAGAGTACAGCAGGGCTTGTTTGCATAAGACCTGACACTAGGGAGCCTCACACAACACTGGAGGCCTACAAAGATGTATTTTAAATTGAGGTCCAGAAGCAGGGGAAAAAGACCTCCCCAAATAATCTACTGGTGCGTGGATTCACTAAGAAACAAGGGTGTCAGAATCTGCCCCTGTTCCATGCAGTAAGTAATTGGGTCCCCAGCTTCTGCACTGTGTTCTAAATGCCCCCAGTAGTTGTAGACTTAGAAAGGCAGGCAGAAGCAGCCTGGCAGCAGGTCCCTGGGCCTTACGTTACATTTCACTGAGCAGATGCTCAAGGATGCTAAATGTTTAATGTCACTGTCAAACAAGTAAAATGACAGGATACTCTTAGGATCATGACTACCTTTTGGATAGAGCACTGACCTGGCTGGCGATGTCTGTAGCATTCTTGGCCCTCATAAAATCTGGAGTCTCATTGGCCATGGCATTCAAGCCTCTTCCTTTAACTTCCAGCTCCAGGTCTCGCTTATATTCTTTCTGCAGAAGAATTGTTTTTAAAAGGAAAAGGTCACTTGCCTTTCCTTAGTAGGTGGTAACAGTGCTGCATGAATAAAAATCCATATAACATGCCCCTTCAGAAGTAGTGTCTTTGCCAGCTACCTTTCCAGGACAGGATGGCATGCTTGTTCTTCCTGCTCTATGTATAGTGACATTAATCAAAGGAAGTCCATTAACACAGAACATAAATTTTAAATCTGGTTTGGTACATGATTAGGATTAAATTAGGTGCATACCATCCCAGTGTGGTGTAACCTTTTTATTTAAATGAGCATTGTGAGTACATCAAACCTAAGTCAAGTAATATTAGATACTAATTTGTTGTGACAACTGCTATAGACACATGCTGTTTGCATATCTACTCATCAGAAATTGACATGCATTTTTATTTAGCAGTTAATTATTCTGGATATAAAATCTGAAATGCAAAAATTATTTTTTTCTCTCCCTGGGTCTAACTTTCGAAGAATGAAGGTGCCATGTTAAATTACATGCATGCAGTAGTTGGCTATGGTCTTACCTCATTGAGGATTTGAGTGGCATTCTTTGCTCTCAGCATGTCAGGAGTGTCTTCCATTTCAGTGAGACCTCTCCCACGAATGCTTTCTTCTAGATCTTTCCTATACTCTTTCTATATGACAAAATAAAAACAAAAAAACCGACAAGAAATCCTGGGCTGCTCTCTTAGGCAAAGAGCCCCAAAACAAGCCAAAATAAATTAATGAATAAATAAAACAATTATTCCAATTTTTAACAGTTCCTGGTTGAGTAAGTAAATAGATGAGCCAATGTAGGGTGTATGGTTCACAGTTGATGTTAATTATTAAATACAAAACTAGAAGTTAATAGAATGCAAAGGTAGGCATGTTTTATTAGATAATCCATTTTAAAAATTAGAAGAATTAAAAGGGGCTATAGATTAGACAGTAGTACCAAACATGGGAACTCCACGGGACAGCCTGAGTGGGACCCAGGCAGGAGCACAGTGAGGAGTCATTAGTGTGATTATTGGGTGAAGAGGGAAGGGAGGACCAAGTAGCTACTACCTCGCTTGCTATTTTGGTTGCATGTCTGACATGTAACAAAGCTGGCGTGACCTCCAGGCCTGTCAGGTTTCTGCCTTTAATTGACTCTTCATAATCTTTCCTATATTCTTTCTAATATGAGTGGGAAGGAAAAACAAGAAAAACTGTTAGAATCCATATTTCAGTCCTAAGAAAAAAAGTTATACTTTCAGGGTTTGGCCTCTTAATCACAGTTCTAATGAGGGTAACACATTTAAAAGTGTCTCATTGTTTTGGAAATACTTTCCTGGCAGTCAATGGCTCAAAAAAAAAAAAACAAAAAACAAACAAAGTTCTAATGAGGGTAACACATTTAAAAGTGTCTCATTGTTTTGGAAATACTTTCCTGGCAGTCAATGGCTCAAAAAAAAAAAAAAAACAAAAAACAAACAAACAAAAAACTGAAGTTCTTTGATGACTCTTCAAAGTCTAGCTAAGGTTGTGATTGAGCAGACACCAACCACAGAGGGAAGATGGATGGGGCCATCAAGTTAGAATCTACTCTCCCCCTGAGACTGTCCCATTTAATTTTTTATTTCTATTATTGTGGGTGATGTGTGAATGAGAGCATGGACACACATGTGCCACAGTACTTATGTCATGTGCATGTGTGGAAGACAGGGACAAGTTGTAGGAGTTCGTCTTCTTCTTGGGTCTTTTTTTTTTTCTGGTTTTTCGAGACAGGGTTTCTCTGTGTAGCTTTGGAGCCTATCCTGGCACTCGCTCTGGAGACCAGGCTGGCCTTGAACTCACAGAGATCTGCCTGCCTCTGCCTCCCGGGATTAAAGGCGTGCGCCACCAACACCCAGCTCTCCTTGGGTCTTGTGGGTCTTCAAGATGGAACTCTGGTTGTAGGGCTTGTGCTGCAAGTCCTTTACATACTGAGCCATCATGCTGGTCCTGTCACACTTAAAATTTTACTTTATTATTTGTATGTGTATGGGAGTTTTGCTTGCTCAGGCCGGAAGGGGGTGTTGGATTCCCCAGGAACCGGAATTACAGTTGTGAGCTGCCATGTGGGTGCTCAGAATTAAACTGGGTCCTCTGGAAGAGTAGCCAGTGCTCTTAACCACTGAGCCATCTCAACAACTCCTCTACCACTAATTTTTTTTAAAGGGGATAAAATATTTTATTTCAGAATTTACAGCAGCTCCAGGGGATAGAATTAGAAGAGCCCAAGGGACTGAACCTGCATTGGCACTTCTCATCTTCATGATTTTTTATTTTGGAGATGTGACAGGCTGGCTTTGAACTCACAATCCTCTTGCATCAGCCTCCTGAGTGCTGATATTACAGTGTGCCACCACCCCTGTCCTGTCCTCCCTTTCCACCTCTTCATTTAGCAGTCAACATCTACTATGGTTCAGCACAAAGGCTCTGGTGTTGCAGTGCCAGGCATGGCCATGTCTGCATTACAGTCATGTAATGGGCTCAGGGAAGCAGTAAGGAGCTCATTGCCTATTATTTTAATTTCAGACTAGACTAGGTGAACAGTGAGGCTGGAGCATAGGAATCTGTGGTTCCATCCATGATTGAGAGAAAGGGTTATCTCCTCTTTTCTGATCCCTTTGGCATATAGTGTCACTCTCACAGAGACCAGGAATAGATGGTAGAAGCATGCTTTTGTGACTTTTCTTCATAGAGTTTTAAATCCCCACAAAAGTTTCAAGAGTATTACAAAGCATTCCAATAATGCTTAATTCAGATTCACCAATTCTTTGAACCTGTTTTAAACTTTCCATAACGTGCATTCCATATACCAGGAACATCCACAAACTACTTTTCTTAAAACACACACACACACACACACACACACACACACACACACACACAAAACCACCAAAAAAAAAAAAAAAAAACAAAAATCACCGTTGTTATAGTTGGAGATAGGACTCACAGAGAAGAGGCAAACAAGATCCCCAAAGGCCCATTTCCCTATAAAATCCCATTTCCCCAATTATGGTTCAAAGTAACAAAAAGTATTTTAAAAATATCCCCACTTTTCGCATTTTGACTTGACTTTTTCATACATGTATATAATATACTTTGATTATATCTGTATCTGTCTCTTTATCTTTCTTTTCTCTCCTTCTTCCCTCCTGGTCTTCTTCACAAATAATGTTCTCTGTGCATTCATGTCCTTAAATATAAAATCTGGGAGCCGGGTGTTGGTGGTGCACGCCTTTAATCCCAGCACTCCAGAGGCAGAGGCAGGCAGATCTCTGTGAGTTTGAGGCCAGCCTGGTCTCCAGAGCGAGTTCCAGGACAGCCTCCAAAGCTACACAGAGAAACCCTGTCTCAAAAAACCAAAAAATAAAATAAAATCTGGGTTCTGTAAATATAGGACATTTGTCCAAGTCTGGCTTATTTAACTTAACATGATGACCTCCAGAGTTCCATCCATTTCCCTACTAGTTATATGACTTCCTTCTGTATGGGTCAGTAGAACTCCACCGTGTATAAATTACATCACTTTTTCCATATCCATTCATCTATTGATGGGCAGATTGCCTAATGGGCTATAGTTAATACTGCCACAGTAAACATGGGTGTGCAGGCAGGGATCCCCACTTGCTTATCCCATTAAGTGGATAGCATGGCAAAACACTAATGTACCTATGCAATGGGAACTTTTCATTCAGCAAAGAAATATCCAAACTGCATTCCATATAATGTTTTCATGTTTAGGAATAATTGTTTTCTAATTTTATGAGAATGTTTCCTGGAATGAAACATACTACTCAAAACATCTTAAAGAAAATAATTGTAGAATTTCTTCAGTGAGCAAGATTTTAGGCACCCTGGGTCACAAAGCTGTATGTCCTACTCCTTTGGGGTAACTGGAGGCTGGAAACGTTCCCAGGATAAGCCAGTGTTCACTGGTTGATGGTGCTGTCCTTGTGTGGTGTTTCTATAGAACTTACCCCACTCTGCATCTGCTGAGATTCTTTGGCAGTAATATATGTCGGAGTCTCAAAGTCAAGCATGGGCTTTCCTCGTTCTTTTTCATATTTTTCTTTGTATTTCACCTAGTGATGAGAAGGTCTGTTAAGTATCTCTCTGCTTGTCAATTCCTAGACCAACTTTATTTATGGACAGCAATTTACTTAATATTTTCCAAGACAGGTTAGGTTCTCACAATGTATCATAGACTAGCCTTGGACTCATAGTCCTCTTGCTTCAGCTTCCCAAGTACTGGGATTATAGGAATGGGCCACTACTAAGCAAGGGAAAGGACTTTCATTTGACAAATTATGTCCAGTTGGCTTATCTCATTGCCATTTGAAAGACTTTCCTGGTGTTATAAACCTAAGAACTTTTAGTTGACACCTGGAGATGGGGTAAGGGTGGGGATGAGAATCAATGCTGTCTAAAAAGTACAATCTACAATGTTTAGATTTAATTTAGAGACAAAAAAGCAGTGGCAACAATCAGCTGACAGAAATACTGACATGCAGAAAATCTGACATACAGAAATACTGACATACAGAAATACTGACATACAGAAATACTGACATACAGAAATACTGACATACAGAAATACTGACATACAGAAATACTGACATACAGAAATACTGACATACAGAAATACTGACATACAGAAATACTGACATACAGAAATACTGACATACAGAAATACTGACATACAGAAATACTGACATACAGAAATACTGACATACAGAAATACTGACATACAGAAATACTGACATACAGAAATACTGACATACAGAAATACTGACGTACAGAAATGGTGCTTGGAGAAAACTGCCCATATATGAGGTTGGCCAAGATTTGCTATAGATATATGACTGCTTTGACAATAAATATTTCTGATTAAAAGCCCTAGTTCTTTCATAAGAGCTGTCATCAGAGACCTGTGGTCTCAATTGAATGGAAAATAAGTGAGGCTTTATAAGCAAATAACCTCTCCCTGGTTGTCACTCTATATTTATTTACTATAAATTGGCATGGAGAGGAAAACTATTTTACAGCTGGACTGAATCACTTAAACGACATTATCAAATAAAATTACCTCCTCCTCCTCCTCCTCACGCTAGGGAGTCATATAAACAGAATGTCTCACAGGGGAGAGACAGAGACAGAAAGACAAAAAGACCCTACCACACACAACCTTAATGTCATTGCTCAGCTCAGCTCTCTTGGTTGTGATGGGACACTGGGAGAGGACACACACTGCTTTACACAGGATGTGGGAGCATTTATAATAACTTAGCCCTCTGGATACTACCCCGAGGGGACCCATAATGGTGATTTTTGTGCTAGCAAGGCCATGTTAATAGTAAGTTCTTTTTTCCTTGGAAAAATGTTACAATCCCCAGAGCCTCTGCCAGTGCTAGATCTGATCATGTTACGTGTCTAGTGAAAACCTACCCTGAATTCCCTGTCATCTACTGGTCTTTTCTGACTTGGGACACAGACTGAGGGGCACATCAGGGTTACAGCACAGGGTTTGTCTCTCTGGGAAGCTAACTGTCATGCTTCCAGTCCTGCTAACCTGAGTAACAAACAGTACAGCATGTATATTTTCTATTATATACAAATACTGTTAATACTCTAATCTCAAAATGTTACTAAATTCAAAGCCCCAGTTCCCGTGAGTATTTTCTCAAATAATGCTTATTGAAAGCCTCATTCCTAAAGTGGACTTGATACTGCTTATTGATAGTGTGGGTGAAAGGAAACTGGCTGTGGGCAAGCCATCTGAATGGACTTACTATACTCTGCAGCTCCGTGGCTTCTTTGAGGTGAAGCTGCTCCAGGTTGTCAGGTATTGTGTGGTAGTGGCCTTTGCTCTTCTCATAGTTCTTTTTGTACTGATACTGGGGGGAAACGACACAAACACATCAATGGGAAGGCTCCACAATGTCTCAGTTTTTCCTTTTTAGCTGTTTGAGGGCCGGCATATGGTACATGCCTTTAATCCCAGTACTCAGTGGCAGAGGCCTGCCTGTGTCCAGAGCCAATCAGGTTTACACTGCAAGCTCCAGGCCAGCCAGGTCTACATAGAGACCCCGAGCCCCAAAGAAAAAGATTACAACGGTTGGATAGGTAGAGCTCCATGTTTCTAATACCAGAGGCAAACACAACACTGATGTGGCTGTTTCTACGTAGGCGTCATTGAAAGTGAGAGGCTGTTTTAAAAGATTCTTTTACATCCTTACAAGGACTAGAACTTTGTTGTTGTTGTTATTTGTTTTTCTCCTGAGCATCGAACCTCGCAAAAAAACATCCCCAACCCAAATAGAGGCAGTTTTACATTCTAAGAGGCATCGTAGTTGATGCACAATTGTAGATTAATGTCATTTGGAGGCATGTCATCAAATAGGGATTTTGTAGTAAATGTAGTGTATCAGTATCGGAGAGGAGGCCTAGAGCTCAGAGGAGGAAACGATCTGCAAATGGCTGAAAGGAATACTTTCCAGAACCAATGACGGAGCTTACAGAACTGGCAAGCTGGCTTGTATTCAGGACATGATGCATAATCAGAGATTCCTTCATGTCAGTCACAGGCTTGTGCAGCTTCTTCAGGTCAGCCTTATATTTAACCTAGTGGTAAGGGAGGAAAAACTGGCAATCACATAAATAGAAAACAGAAAAACAGCACTAAGGGAAATGACAGGAAGAGATATCTCTGAGAAATGAATGCTGGGGATGGCTGTGAGGGAAAACCACTCTGCACAGTGCCAAAAAAGCAGAAATGACCCGAGTCCATCACTAGGTAAATGGATATCATCAACAGAAGTGTGGCATATTGGAATATTAGAAAGATGAAAAGTTCCCCAGCCATAAAATGGAATGCAGTGCTAATTAATGCCACACTATCGTGGGAACCTTGAAATGCTACACTAAATAAAGTAAGACACAGACATTGTAGAAGTCCATTTATATGGCATTTGTAAATTAGGCAGAATCATGCAGACATAAGAGGATACCAGGAGCTAAGGGAAGTAAGGGTTGCTTAATGGTTTTCTTTGGGGGTAATTAAAGGGCTTTGGAAATAGTGGTGGTAATTGGAGAACACTGTGGAAGGATTAATGCTCCTTAAATACAATTAAAATGGCCAACGGTAGTATGCTATACAATTCACCACAACTAAAAAACATACCTCACTTGCAAGGTTGTTAGCATCTTTCATAGTTTTGTAGAGCTGGCTGTCTTTTGGGTTGTATTTTGGTGTCTTACCCTTCTCTTTGTCAAAATTTTCTCGGTATTTAACCTAACAACAAATGCAAACATCCAGATTATTCCTGAGCATCTGGTAGGGAAATGTAAATAGTAGTGAAAATGGCTGTGTTACAAATGATCAAACAATTTGTTACCCCATGGGGTAGTTTTAAGAGTATAAGGGAATACTGCCAACAGCAGCACAGGGCAACAGACAATCAGGGGTAGAATCAAGTGATGTAGGACAGTATTGACTTTGCTCATTGCATTATCTGGAGGCATCAACAGCAACCTCTTGCTAATGTAAGTCAATACTAAGCAGCAAAAGGATTTGAATTTACATAGGATTTACAGGCCACTCAATGTTCCAAAATTGTAAGTTTTTCAAAGTTTCAACATCAAAATAATTTGATAACTGTATAACTTGGAAATTTTAAAAACATTAAGAATGTTTTATGTTTGTAAGGTCTTGATCTTATGTTTTGATCTAAGTGGTTATATGATTCCATTAATTTACAATAAAATATTGAATAGAACATTTAAATAGAAGTATGGGGACTCTTGGAGTTGTTCTGTTCTAGATTCCTTGAGAGGCATGTGCATAGGTTTATCAGGTTAGAGTTCATGGCTCCTGGTGCACTATGTGCCTTTTAATTCCTGAGAAACGGAGGCACTTCCTCAGGCAGTGAAGCATTTAGTGTCTCTGTGTTCCCTAGAAGTCAACGAGGCATACAGATGTTTGGCTGGACATTTAGTCTTAGACATTAATCTTGTATACCCTGTATGGCTTGCAAATGTCATTGCATCCTGGCAACTACAATTGTATTGATCCTAAAAAACATCCATTATTTCTGATAAATGTATAAAAAATCTGATGGCTTGCAAGAAACTTGTCACAGCCTCAGTCTTGCTATGACCCCTGTAATCCATGCCTGATTAAGATTCATTTCCTATTGGCCCTATCAGGTAACCTTGGCTGGGTCACTTACATATAAGATCTTAAAAATCATACTTGTTGTTTGAAGTCATCTGAACCTTTTGTCTTAATAATTCCAACTTGTTTTCCTATTTTATAACTTGATATTATTGCTTTATAATATCATGTTTGGTATTTCTGGAGGTTGGAATACAACAATTACACGAATATCAAACCTATTTCTTTAAACAAATATTTGGAGATAATGGACAGTGAAGAAGGTAAAGACAGGATTTCCAAACTGGAGGAGAAAGAAGGTATTTTTGACCTGAAGTCAGAGAGCTGGTGTTAGACTACAGCTCCCTGGGATGAACTTTGAAAACTGGTGTAAACTTGGAGGCACTGTAGAGAAATTAGGGAGTACATAGCAGTTGGCTTTGGTCAACACATTTCTGAGTCTGTCTTCTCAATAATACGAAGTCTACTGAGATGAAGCATTCACCCCAACACCCTGTGTGTACCTTGATCAAGCACTCATCATACCAGATTGCCATTATTTATCTACGGAGACAAGTACCCCATGACACTTGCTCACCCCTAATCAGAGATGCCTAGCTGGGGCACTTAATAGCAGTGTGTCAAATGGAAGAATAAAAGTTCTTTTACACAGTTGGGTTTTAACAGTTAGAAATTCATGACTGCTACACAGCACCAAGTCTCTCATAGGTAACCCAAGTAGAAAGCAGACCTGGATATAAATTCTACTGCCTGGGAAGAGGCTCTCTTTGTTCCATGAGAGCAGTTAAATACACAGGCAGCTAGGTGCATACCTATAAACAGA